AGTTACAGCACTACTACCCGGGGAATGCTGGGGTCTTTTGAGTAGAAATGGAGCAGAACTGGCTTGTTGGCCTTTCTTAAACCTTCACTTGGGCAACTAAAACACATGTTAGATAGTACTTAAAAGTCTGCWAAACTTTTTAAGATGTCAGAAGCTGTCTAGCTAGTAGCTGTTTTTCATTTGCTTCTTGCTTTTCAAATGAAACTGCTCTGATTCTGTCAGCTCCCCAAACCTGATTTTGTTTTCAACCTGTGAGTAATGTCAAGAACGTTTTCCATTAAAGCTCTTTTTTGTGTCTGCATTTAATCTTGTATGGCACCAGGAAATTAAAATTAATGCAATTCAGATCAATGTTTGTGTCTTGTACTGTTATTGTTAATGAGCAGTGCACATTTGAGTAAGGACTGACTTGAGTAAGAGGGTGATGAGACACTGAACAGGTTCCCAGGGAAGTTGTGAATGCCTCATCCCTGAAAATGTTCAAGAACAGGTTGGATAGCGCCTTGAGCAATCTGGTCTGGTGGAAAGTGTCCCTGTCTATGGCAGTGGAGTTAGAACAAAATGATCCTAAAGATCCCTTCCAACCCAAACCATTCTGACTTGATTTTCTGACTTGATTTTCTGACTTGTGCTTGATAATTCCTGCCACAACAGACTATTTGACCTATGCAATGTACAATTAAAATCTGTAATTCTGGAGTGCAGAAATTAAGGGAAGACTTACAATGACACTATAACCAAGTGAAAGGTGGTAAAGTTTCCCTCCACATTTTCTAAATTTCAGTTGACGATGCCTCAGCACCCATTCGAGGACCTGGAGATGGCATGGAAACAGAGCAAACAGCTGGATCAGTGGAAGCAGTTACTGGAGCCAACACTACAACCCATCATATCCACCACAGCCCCCATAAAAAGAAAGCCGTTTCCCTGAGTCCTGGAGTTCTGCAGCTGGGGAAAGTACATGCTGATAAATCAGTGGAGATTGAAGCTATTCGAATATTAGTCCCTAAAGCAGCTATCACCCATGTTGTTCCAACGAAAAATGCTAAGGTAGCTAAATCTGTGGGACATAAAGGAGACACATTCCATCAGTCAGATGGAGCTACAGATCCCCAGAAAGAACAGATAGAGCTGAAAAATGCAATTGAAAAGCTAAAGAATTCAGAAAAGCGGTTGTTACAGGATAAAGAAGGTCTCTCCAATCAGCTGCGTATACAGACAGAGGTAAGAAATCAAAGGTGTTTTCTCTAACACAACTGAACTGTTTTGGTTTRTATAAACAATTTGTGAATGTGACCAAAGAGAACTGCTCTGACACTCTAGCCTTGAAACAAATAATTTCCCTTTTGAACTTACCAGCTAAGATATAGAGCAGAAGTACATCAAAGTATTCAGGTGTTGCTTTTCTGACAGCAGATGAAAGAGTCAAAGACCTAGCTGGGAAAAGCACACTAAAGAGCTGCAGGGAAATGAATCTTTCATGAGGAAAGATTTTGCTCCTTAATCACTATGGGAAAAAATGTTACGCTGTAGAAGGGTTGACTATAATTTTCTATTTCATATACGTGTGGATGTCTTGTCTAATTCTTTGTTATCTTACTGATTCAGGAGTTGACTACTACTGAAACTTTGTTTCTTGTAGCAGGCTTTCATTCTTCCTCTTTGACTGTTAGAATTCAAACAAAAATGTGTTGGACATGCATTAACCTCAAATGTTATGCTTGCCTGGATGTGTACCATTCTAGAAAKAAAAAGGCAATTTATTGTTAGGAATTTGAAATAACTTGCACTGCATTCTGGAAGTAGGAGTGTTTATTGATAAGTTACAAGACAGTCCAGTCTGGTCTACTTCCAGGTCAATCGGGAGCTGAAGAAATTGCTTGTTGCTTCTGTTGGGGACGATCTGCAGTATCACTTTGAACGGATGGCTCGTGAGAAGAATCAGCTCATCCTGGAAAACGAAGTGCTGGGCCGGAACATGGCTCAGTTGTCCGAGCAATTGGAGCGCATGTCTATACAATGTGATGTGTGGCGAAGCAAATTCCTAGCAAGCAGGTAYTCCCTCTCATGGAGCTGTCCTAACAGCATTCACCTTCAGTCTTTCATCATATACACTCATTGCAGTGTGCTTGCATATGCAGAGGACAGCCACAACAGCCATACTGATATCTACTATGAAATGACAATACAGAAAAGTTGTAAAGAAACTTGTTGTAAAGAAAGTAAGCTCCTAGTAAATCTGAATAGTCCTGTTTTTCAGAGGTAATAGAGTGAATCCTAAACCTCCTAAAATCTCAACTACAGTTCCTCTCAACATATCAAGAGAAGCTCTTAATTCTGATGAAACTGTGTGCAGTTTAGGGTTTAAAAATGTCTTCTAGGGCAGATGACTTTTTGTAAAGGTAATTAGCTTACTTTTCTTCCCCACCCCTTGCTCCTGGTATGATACAGTCATCAATTTGAGAAGAAGCTGATGTGTTAAGAGCTCTGCTTGTAGTGAGTTAGGAAGTACTGAAGTAAGAGTAGGGGGATTTCTTTTTCARACTGTTACTTCTCTAACCATAAAARYRGGTCTGAAAGTCAAAATCTCATTTGACAATGGAATGGACTTTAAACTTGCTAAGTTAAGTTGTCTTACCATATCTGTAAATAGTGTTCTAGGATTTTTAGTTTTCTGCTGTACTTGGATATAACTGACTKAACTATGATGYTTATGCATATCACAAAAGACCTTATTGCTTGAAGGAATGGTAATAGAATACAGTGTCCTCCCTTTCATTTGCTGGTTTTTAGAAGTTTCAGCATATGGGGTGAATGGTAACTTGTGTAGCATATGGRGTGTAATGGTACTTGTAAGTCCTAGCTGAGCAAGTTACTATGCAAACTTGTGGGTTTTAGCATTATTCAGAGTTCTGAGATCAGGGATGTGAGTGTGCTTAGAGTAACACTTCAATATTGTAACCTTCTGKTTCATTTTTATCTTGTATGTCTAACTGGGAGTTTTTAAAATGTCATTCTGGTTTTTGCATTTGGAATATCACAGGCATTTGAAATGCCTGCAGGAGGGGTCAGTGCCAAGCCTCATGCATAGCAATATGTGACAACTGTCTCATTTGTAGCTCTTAAAACACTCATATCTGCATCTAGTGATTGCCCCTGAGAAAGGCAGAGGTAAATGAATGCAGTCTATAGCCATGGCTGTCATTTTTAGAGATGAGTGTGAACAGATGTGATTACAGCATACTTGTGAGAATTGCTAGTAAAAGAAAAATATATTTAGCTTTTTCTTTCATCATAGGATCCTTGTCAACTGTGTACACTTACCCAAGATACTTTGAAATGTCTGTTACTAGATTTGTATTAAGTGGACTAAGATTGCTTAAATTCAGCAAGCCATAACATAATCTTGCACTGATGTTGACTGTAGTTGAACAGAAATTATTCTTAATTAGGTTGATATAGGCTCTGCATGGGGAAGGGAACAGAGAACAGCAGCTTAATCCTCAGGCTGAACAGATGAGTGATARTCTGTAGTAGAATAAAGGTGATGTTCAGACTGTTCACTTGCAGTGCTGACTGGAGATTTCTTCTGCAGGGTGATGGCTGATGAGCTGACCAATACCAGAGCAATTCTTCAGCGCCAAACCAGGGATGCACAAAGTGCAATCCAGGACTTGCTGAATGAACGCGATCAGTTCCGTCAAGAGATGATTGATACACACAAGTATGATTTTTCTAATGTAGACTACCTCTGTGCAAACTTCATTTTTGTCAGTTTATTTAGGCCAGAGAAGAACCAAGTAACTTTCCCCTCTTCCRGTGATCTTCAACCCAAATCAATTATACTGATGTATAGWATGGTMACTTTTCAGTCTTAGAGCTGAAAGRGCAAAAGTAYTAGCTTTCTTCATTCCCTAGAGATGTGAGRTCTTAGGGGTAATAAACTGTGGAACTGACATCCCTCATGTGCTCAGGCTTTCTCTCTTTAATCACTTAGTGTCTTGACTTCAAGTGTTCTCTSTTTCCTTCCAAAATATCAAATAAGAGTTTCTTTTGCCACGAACTTTCTAGTGCTTATTCTGCCACATGACAAAAAAGTGTTCCCAGTATTAAAAGTCCTGTGTTGGTGAGGCTTTGCCTTGGAAAACAGACATTTGTCTCCTTGTTTTCAAATGCTTTTTTTTTGACCAGTTCTTTGATTTAAGATTTAGCTAGTTTAATAATTCTTGGGATGAGATGATTCCTCAGAAATGTGCTGGATGCTGATTATACAGTATAGAATACAAACCCCACTAACAGTGCTTTTTTAATTTTTGCACAGGCTGCTGGAGGAACTCATGGTTTCTCTTCAGTGGGGGAGACAACAGACATACTATCCTAGTGCCCAGCCTTACACTACAACAGAGCTAGCAGCTGTGAATTGTAAGCTAGCCAAAGCAGTAAGCTCACATCTTCTAGGAAATGTTGGCACTAACAGTCCAAAAAAGACTGCAACAACTGTGGAGTTCTGCAATACCCCTGCTGAGAAAATGGCTGAAATGGTAAGAACTCTTGTTACATGTTAATCTTTATATTAAGGTTCTGGGTAAATGGATATTTTGTTTTCAGCTTGAAAAAAAAAAAGAAAAATGGTTTTTGGGCAGAAATCCTTCCTAGCTGTTAGAGAAGGAAAAAGCTCATTAAACTGTATAAAAATACTTCAAGTCTCATTTTTTTCATCCTTAGATGCTACGTGTACTGGATCCAGCTGCACGTCCAGAAACATCAACAGAAGTTTCTTTTGCTGAGACTTCTCCATCTTCCTTCCTTTCCACAAAGAAAAGTATTGGAAGGTTTCACCCATATACAAGATATGAAGATGTAACCTTCAATTGTTGCAATCATTGTCAAGGAGAGCTGATAGCCCTTTAAAAGCCCAGCCAAGGCAACTGCACATGCACTGTTTCTAAAGAACTATAGTACCTGATGTTCAGCAGGCTTCCCTTTGTCCTTTTCCTATAATGGGTGGGTTTAACATTGGAAATTACAAGGTTTCTGCTTCTCTACCTCTTGAAGTTAGGGACTGACAGGATTTCCATAGTCTCTGGGATACTTCTWCTACTTCTCAGTCTGGAAAGTTACTTATTTTCTTATGCAAAGGCAAGACAAAAAATGGTATGCTGGTCCAATTTAYAGAGCATACAGATGCTTTTGACTGTTGAAGGTTTATAGTCTTATTAGCAAATCCTAATGAATTTCCCATTAGAGGGAGACAGAAGTGTAACCATACCAAAGCAAATGAGGTGCTAATCAGTTACATCTAAATTTAGAAATAATGGTAGATGGTCAGTTACATAGTTGTTTTTTTTTTTAATCTTAGCCAAGGTGATGGCCTGCCCCCAAGTCTATGTTCAGGCTTTTAAGCTGAGTTATAAAAACAACTATGTGTAATGATTCTTCAAAGCTGTTAAGTTCTGAAAGGAAGAGTATATGCAGTACCAGCCCTCCTGTCAAGAAGGAGATGAAGCTTGAATGAATTCTAGCTATAATATATAAGTAGTAACTGCTTTCAGATGGACTCCAAAAAACTCAGTGGGGTGAGATTATTCTTGAGTTTCCATAAAGCTGAAATAATGGCTTTTCCATTTGTTTCAGCTTCTGGAGGGAAGCTTTGCATCACTGATCCTCAGTAAAGGCAGACAGTAAAACACTTTCTTTAGTACATAGCATTAAAAGCTGGCCTGGCATTAGGACTCAGTCCTTACCCAAGGTTTTCCAGAGTATTATGGGAAGGTGAAGATAAGCACTATGTTTGCACAAGTACTGTTAAAGTATTTTTTTACTTGTATGGTTTTATAATCTTGATGTAGAGTCAAAGTTTTTGACATTGGTTTGAAGAGAACTTTTAAGAGACAATCTGCTAAATCCAAAGAAGMCTATTTAAATTTCTTAGTCTGAGCCCCAAATCTACCGTATGAAGGTGTCTAGTTTAGGAAAAAGGTTTCTAAAATGGTTGCTTTTACCCAATTTTCCTTTGAATCTCATACCATGATCAAATTATGTAAGCTGAAAGTTCTTGCTGTTGCTGGCTCTGCTTTGATTTGCATGAAGAAAGCTACAATAAACTTCATTTGCTTGCTTTCAGGTTGCACTTTTGGATTTAATGAAGTCATATTTCTGACCCTATTTTCTCTGTAGCATAAAGGAACTATTTGACACTGAACTGTAAAGCCCTTCACTCTGCTGGTGTGAGGCAATGAACAGAGAAGCACTTCTTTTGTAGTTTTCTACAGTTAGGGGGATGGTATGTGTGAACCTTTCCAAACACTCCACCTGGATTTGCTTGCTAGATGCAGAAAGCTCTTCTTGCTTTTGGTGTCAGGGGAAGGTATCTGGAAGGYGGAAGGCATCTGTTAGTTATGTGTCTCTTGAGCATGTGAAATTTTCATTTTGTATCCATGCTYGATGTCTATGCTGGCAAAAGCAGCCTCCAGCCCAACACCAGTGCTCTCAATRTGCCTGTAACTAGCTCCAAAAATAACTGAGAAAAATATTGCCTGTAAATCTGCTTTGCATCTACTACMTTTCTGTCTGTTGTAGTACTCCCAGAAAACACTGTGAATGTGGAAAAACTTCAGGGCAATGCCAGGATCATGAAATGTGTTGGACATGTAGTTGGACACAAAGCTCCTCTTCTTTCATTTACTTTATGATTTCATGAGTCACATTGGCAAGTTCTCTGTCAAGAGTTCACAATTTAGCTGGGTAAGGTGATGTAGTTTGCTAAAATCATTATAACAAAYATTGATATTTATATAAGGAACCTAGCTTCCTTACTATTGGAAAAGGTTATCATTTTAATTCCATGGAATAGAAAACTACTGGATAAGACTCACAGAAATAAGTTTCAAAACCCYTTGCAATGTTCACCTACACATTAGCCTTCAATGACCACTTTCCAGGAACCTAAAAGAATACAGTCCTCTGGTCTAGAGCTCATCAACAAATCAATAGGAAGTACAAGAAACATCATTTTCCAACAACATTACACCTTACACAGTCTTAATCACTAGCAGCATCAAACAGCAATATAATTCCACCAAAAATTCAACATTTTGCACAGTAGCCTGCATCCAGGAATCCATGATGGAGTTGAGTATAAAGTGCCTTTTAAAGAAGGGAATGTGTATTTGCCACCCTCATATATAGATCTTGCACTCATTTAGATTTGGTTAAACCAAGAAGATCCCTGAGTTATGCATAAAAGCAGGCTTTTCAACTATATTACAAATAAATAGATAGGGAAATCATTGTCACTGAAGGTAATTTTTAAACTTGCTTGAAAGCTTTTAAAATACCACAAAAAGTCAGTAGCTGTAAAGAACAAAAACTCACACCATTTAAATTAAGAAGATTGTCACCAAGAACTCTGTGGCTACATCAGATTTTCAACTGTAATGGTCTCTGAGGCAAAAGGATTTTGTCTCTGAACTAAACAAAGTTCATGTTCCGCATCCGTCTTTCTCTTCTGGCTTCCAGTTTAAGCTGCCTGGCGCTCTCTTTAGCAGCTTGTTCTGCTGCTATTTTCTCTTCTCTCTTCCTTCTCAGCCAGCTGTGGAGAGAGAAAGAGGATCAGAAGTACTGGCAGTTGCAATTTCAAGCTTTGCATCATCCATTCAAAGGAGACTTGTCCCCCACTTAACTAGAGCCATCCTGTCTTGTAGGGTGAAGTTGGGTGTCATGGCTGAGACTGTCTAAAAGCCTGACACACCCCAAATACAGGAAGCACTACTCTCCTACCCCAATTCCACTGCTTCTGCACCCACCTTTACCTGCCCCATTTTGTTAAACTGGATTAACTTTATACTCCTTTAATGGACTGAATCAACCCAAACTTGCTCCAGAAAAGGCAACAAGAGTTTGGTGAGAAAATCCCTTTTTTGGCAAAAGCAATTCACTTTTTTCAGCTCAGGTTCTGACAAGTAATTTCACAGCAATGAATGAACAATATCAAGGAWTTGGTACATTTTTGCAAGGGTGTAAATTTAAAAGGGCATACTCATGCAAAAAAAACAACTCAAAACCCTCCAAAACAATGAGGACTTCAGTGGTAAAGATGTACCATGAGATAATTATAGATTTGAGCTTAAAGACTACAAAAGTTTCAAAAATGGTTCCTTAGGAATGAGCTTACTTACTCTTTAAAAGCTTTGTCACTGTCCTCTATCCTTGGATAATACTGCATTTCCTGAGTTTGGCGCCTCAAAAGGTCTAGCTGTTTTTCTTTCACATATTGTAGGTGCTTTTTTTTGAGCCATAACCTGTAGGCTTCTTCTGGATCCCTAGTCACCTCCTCCTAGTTAATAAAAAAGGCATGTATACACAAGGTTAATCAGTAAATTACCTTTAAATTAATCATATTATAATAGTTTCTTTTGTATTCAGCTGGCATCTCCCCTCCGTGAAACGTACTTTATAAACACACTAGAGCATATGCTAATCTGGCATGGAATATAAACATGAGCAAGCATTTAAAGCACTATGTTTTAAAAAGTACTGAATTATCTTTTCGAGTCCACCATTTAAGRCAGAAGAACTTTAGAACAGCATCTGAATCTCCAGATTTTGATTAGGTCATGTGCATTAACTGCTTGCTAACTAGTTCTGATGATAAGGAAAGCACTCCAAAGAGTCTCTGCTTGTTCACTGCAGTGTTCCATTAAATCATTCTCCTGATAAATAGGAAAATCAGTGTATCTCTGTGATTTTATAATTAAGTTTATATATACTGTTTCTACAATGCAAGCCACCCTACCAAGCACAATAATCTTAAACATGCAAGTCCAGCTTTTCACTGAAAACAATGTAACAAAAACATTYCCCATTACTATAAATATTCATACACTTGACCTAGAACACAGGCTTAGAATTTGGTTTTCCTATTTAACAAGATTAACATTTAACAAGATAGATCCCAGTTCCACATTAGGGAGACATTACTCTGATGCTCAGCTCTTCCAGCTGCTTCGCACGACGAATCCGCTTTTCTTCTTGTACTTGTATTTTCTTCTTCTGTAACCAAGCTCTAAAAACTATGTCATTCTCTCTTCTCCTTTCTTCTTCTARTTCCTTTTGCCTTATTTCTTCCTTAAGTGGAAGGAAAAGCAAATAAATTTAGATTTTAAGAGAATTATCTTCATCTGCAAGGACCATTGCAGGCAAGAAATAAGTCATTTGAATTACATGAGAGACACACTGAAATACAGATGAAACAGGAATACTCAAAGACTGCATCATAGCTAATACTACATTTAGGAAGGAATTGTTGGAGCACTTCTGTGGTTTGTGATATATTCTGACACTTCCAGTCTAATCCTTTTTGTGATTWCCTCTATTTTCATGACACAACTCACAGACATTTAAATAACATCAGGTGAAAACTCTTAAGTCTGCCCAATAGCTCTGATTATMTTAGAATCACTTCAAATTGATGCATTTTAAAAATCAGTGCAGCTCTCAGGCTTGATGGACCACTAAACCCCAAAGCATACTTAACAACTTATGGATTACAAGCACTACCTTATAAATAAGGACTTCTTTCTAGAAATGAAGTTGCTATGTATTTATTTAAGGAGTATAAATAGCTTCAGGCTTTTTTCAAGTTTTCAATGTGAACTGATACTTACAAAATTGAGAGAAGATTCTTTTACTTATTAATTACATTTTAGCTAATGGTAAGTATTAAAGGAAGAGAAAAAATTTCCAATTAAAGCTTCAGAAAGCTGATTAGGACATTTTTTTTACCAGGATTTACTCTCTTTGACACAAAAGCTACAATCCCTACTCATTTCACACTTTGACAAGTCTAATCTTCTTGCAAATAGATGATGTTCCTCCCACCTACACACAACTTTCAGACAGCCTCCAATCTCACAATTTCTAATTTATTGGAATGAAAAAAAACCCAACAAATGAAGCAGCTGAATTCCAGTAATGCCAAGAAATCCAAGAAATGCCTGTGAAATCAGTCAACAGAATGGAAGAATTCCATTCCAGAATGAAGAAATTACGTAACACATTCTTACCTTTCCCTAAGTCAGCCAACAAAGGAAGAAATTTAGCACATATTGTTAGGAAAATAACCTTCCTACCCTCACCACWACCTTTTACTTTAAATACACAAAACATGGTGTCAAGAGATCTAGTCCTGTGTGCACAAAGAGAACACTTCGATAGCTCATCATATTTCATACCCCTCATTACTGAGCTGAACCTCAGTAACCTTTTCAAATAAATCAGGCTAGAGCTATTTCCAGATAGAAACCAACCTTGGAAGCTACTTAACCAGCTTAATTAGTACATCATGSCACAGAAAAATGGCATGCTCCTTTTGCAGAGCGACATACATAGCAAGTTATCTTTTTGTAATTGCATCATCATAATGCAAAGAGAAGAAAAACATCGACATTTTTAAACTCTTTGGTAAAGATTTCCCCATTACAGCTCTCAGAGGCTGACTCTCTATGAAATGTAATTTTTTTTCTGAGTAAGGAGCTGAGAAAGAATTAAAACGGTTCTCACAGTCACTCTGCTGTGTAAATGTTATATTAGGACTGAACACTCTCCCCTATGATAATTGCCTAATTGATACTTCTTGAGTACCCAAATGTGCCCCTGCCTTGCTGTGGTTCATGTAAACTTCTTGCACTGCAGTGTAATATATGCAGATGTGACACTATGTGCTACATTCCATAAACTGTGTGACTGTAATGGAACCTAGGTWGAGAGAGAGTCAAGAGGCAAAACCAGTATGCAAAATACAGCAGAAGGCCTATTTATGAAGGATATATTAAATAATTTCCCCTCTGAGCAAGGCATGATCCTATGCCACTCTGGGAAGGGAGCTTGAGAGATTCCATACAAACCCCTGAGAATTATTGTTATTGTTGTTATTTATTATTATTATTATTATTATTATTATTATTATTATTATTATTATTATTGTTGTTGTTATTATTATCATTACTACAACTACTATTGCTGCCTTTTTTATCAAGGAAGAATGGAGTAAATGTCCTGAGCATGTGGTCCTTGTGGAGCAGAGAAATAGGATGGTCACTGTGATTTACTTTTTTCTATGTATTTACCTCTATCCTCCGTCTTTCATTCCTTATTTCAATYTGCCTCCTTAATTCTTTTTGTTTGGGAGTGAGACCATAAGTGGAGCTTTTCACAGATGTCTTTGAAGACTGAGTCTTCCGTGGACTCTTCCCTTTTCCCAGATCTTTTGTACCATTCAAAGCAGAATCTGGAGGAAGTTGACAGTCACATGGAGGCATTCCTTGAGAGTCAGAAGAATAGTAGTCTGAAGATTTTGAAGATGTTTCAATATCAGTAAAACAAACACTTATTGGAGGCGAGATGCACCGGCTTTCAATGTCATATAAACCTAAGAGCTCAAACTTTCCAGCTTTTTCCACTAGGAGTTTACTATAATCTGATGTTTCCTCCTCTGAGCCACCACGTGTTAAAAGTGAYGGGCGTTGCTGTCCTATGTCATTAGAAATAAGCAGCTGAGACAGCCCAAATGAAAGGTCATCTCCTTTTGAATGGTCAGTTTTACCAAACTCAATATCTTCTGGAAGAGGAGCTTGGAGAGCCAACAACTCATCCTTAAATTTTAATTTCCGTTCTCTGTTTTTATCCACAGGAGCCTGATTTTTCAGCTCTTTGTTGGCTTCTTCAATCTTTCCCAAGACGTAACGCTTTATTTCTTCATCTTCTTCCTCATACGGTCCCTGCTCGTTTCCCAGCCTGGATTCCTGGATAAAGCTTTCTCTCTCAGGATCAGATTCRTGGTCCTCCTGTTCAGTATCTGTTCCGGATTCCAAATATTTTTTATTGGAGTATATTGTTTTCACATTTACATTTTCAATTGCTGCCTCTGAATGCTGATCTAGATTTCCTTCCATTTCTTCATTCCCTTCCTCAAGGTTTTCTGCAGCTCTATGAATTTGTGCTTCATTTTCTTCAGGATTCTAAAAACAATAAAAGCAATTAGTCTCTTCTGTCAACAAAAGAACAGTTATGAGAGAAAGAGAAAAGAAACAGGGAGAGAAAAGAGCAGTACAAACTACCTGCATTCTAAACCAGACTGTCAAACAGTGCATGTCATAACTAGCAGCCTTTTTGGCACTAACAAGTCTCTTCATTTACTTTATGTTCACATTTTCACAAAGTTTAATAACCAGTAAAGTGATTAGTGACAGCATAAAACAGAATGAGTGCTGCACAGAARTACTTTTTTAAAAAACATAGTTTTCAACGAACACTGAATTTTCTGTTTTAAGAATATTATAACCAAACTAACTAGTTCACTGAWATATGTTTCATTGTAATTTCAAATRATCTTCCTTGGCAAAATTCAGTGAAWGCACCTACACATTTCAAGCAATCCTGAATTGGTGCCAATGATTCCAAATATTACTGTATTTTGTCTTTTTAATAGCACAACTAGCATTTGATGTAACAAATACCTCTCTTTCACCAGGGTCCTGTTTTTCTTCATCATCAGTTAGGTATTCCAGTTCTTTTTCAAAATCATCCTCATACTCTTCATTTTCTGTTGAATCACCCATATCTGTYAGATCTTCTTGATATTCCTTTTCACTCATTTTGGTGATGTGTTAGAGTATTACTACAAAAAGAAGGGAATAAAATGTTTTCAAACTCTAGTGACACACAAATACTGATATGTCTCGTGGCATCCACAGCAAACTTGTGAGCAGTATGAGCACAACCATGTTAGTGCCACAGCAGCTCAGGACTAAGGATCACTGATGGTATATAATCACAAATGGTTTTGGCTTTTCCAGCTCTAGCTACTYGGAGAAGGCTTCAGTTAAATCCAGYCAARGTGATTTAATGTCTCTTAAACTAGAACTCATGATCTTTTAACTGCTAGTGTTGTGCAGAGACACTATTTTATGTTAGCTAGAAGTGCTACAGACTTCTTGTTTGTATCTTACCTTGTTTGTGTCTTATTTTATTTAAACACAATGTAACTTTTAGCACTCATTAACCTGTTACTCAGGCTGGTTTAGTCACGCTCATGACAAAGCTGAAGACGAGTCACTGTAAGAACTGCATCTTTTAAATCATCTTTGTACTGGACAGCACACAGGTGCCACCAGCTCCTGAAGGATTGCTTAAATACCAGTTCTTGGTGCTCCAAGCTGAATCCCTGCTGCCCTTCCACTCAGCTCACTCAGTACAAGGCATCAAGACACAAAGGGTTAAAAAYGTGAACACACTCATGAGTCTAGAGAGCTGATTGTGCTCTTTTTACATCTTCAGCCACCAATAACTCCTTCACTAATTTATTACCTTTTACAAAAGCAATGAAAAAGACATTCATTATTCAAAAGTTCCTGTTCTTTTGTACCCTCTGCTGTACCAGTCTCTAGTAAGACTGTGTAATTTTCAACATACTAAAGATCATGAATGTTGTGACATCACAAGGAGTATTGGGTAAAAGYAGAAAGAGGGGAAAYTTAGGTTAGATATTAGGATGAAATTCTTTGSTRTTATRGTGGTGAGGCAMARGAACAGGTTGCCCAGGGAAATTGTGRATTCCCCATCWCTGGAAGAGTTCAGGGCCAGATTGGATGGGGCTTTGGGCAACYTGGTCTTSTGGCAKGTGTCCCTGCCCAAGGATCTTTAAGTTCCATTCCAACCCCTTACCRTTCTGYGATATGAGCACATGGCAAGACAATATGGAGCATAAGAGATAGCTCTGACTCTGGATGGCCCTAGAATAGCAAGACAGCTGTGTGACCATCCTGCCCTTCCAGACAAAAATCACAGAATCAGAGAATCAAAAAGGATTGCACCTGGACTTTTGAATCTGTGTATCCATTTTGCAATGTATTTTGTAAAAGCCATCCAGCAGATGTTGCTTAAATTCTGCCAAGCTTTTGTTTTAAGTTTGTATGAGTATCTCTGAGTTCTCAGTTATTTATTCTGAGGAACACCAGCTCCGCTTCTTAGAACTTTGTATTTCAAAAAAATAGACAACAGTGATGCTCTTTTAAACCTCAAAACTTACTCAAGATTTGTTTTAGAGGAAAAARTGGTAATAAAGCTGGGCATTTCCTTCACAACATCCTTGGTTTGGGTGATGACATACCCMGGATCTTAATGGAGGTTACTTTGCYCYAGTGCATATTCAGCATAAAAGAACTATTTCTCTGTGATTTCATTATTATGGTGAGTGGAAACAAAAGCTGTGCCGATTAATTGTGTCTTTAACTAAACATGTTCACATCAGTCTGTGGCACTCAATACAAACACTGAAAATGTTAAATCCATTTGGGTTAAGTATAATAACAGCGAACAGCATAAAAATCAACTTCTGTTGTAAAATAAAGTAGTCATGGCTGAAGAAAGAACTTCTAATTCAGTGTCCTTGTTCATTGAATGTTAAGGGATTGGAATGAAACTTAAAGACAATCTAGACCCAACCTCCTCTCCCATGGGCAGGAATATCTCCCACTAGACCAGGTAGTTCCAAGCCCCATCCAACCTGGCCCTGAACACTTTCCAGGAATGGGGCATCCGCCATCTCCCTGGGCAACCTGTTCCAGGGTGCCACCACTCTCACAAYAAAGAATTTCTTCCTAATATGTAACCTAAGCTTCCCCTCTTTCAGTTTGTGCCCATTCCCCTTGTCCTGTCACTGCAGTTCCTGACAAGGAGTCCCTCTCCAGTTTCCCTGTGGGCCCCTTCAGATACTGGAAGGTTGTAATGGGGTTTCTACACAGTTTCCCTTTCTCCAGGCTGAATAGTCCCAACCTGCTCAGTCTGTCTCCACAGGGGAGGTGCACCAGTCCTCTTACCAACCTCATGGCCTCCTCTGGACTTGCTCCATCTGTTCTGTGACCTTCTTATATTGGGGACACCAGAAAATCCTGAATCAGCTCCTCCTCTATTTAGGGTCTTATGAAGTAAAGGGATTCAGCATTAAGAGGGACCTAAAGCACTCAGAAAATCTCTGATCTTCATTTTCACCTGCTTCTGTTCTACTTGGGGCGCGTCCGTTGGGGGTGTGCGCTGTGACCACTTGCTCTGCACAGCTTAATAACATCTCTACGTGGTTATACTCTGACACAGCCACWGCAAAAGGCGCGACAGAGCGATGGATTATTGCCGCTTTGTCCCGCTGCACTAAAACCTACACACACACACACACAGACCCGGGAACCCGAACCGCACTCGGGCGCGGTGGGGAACATCCTCACCAGCATTCCCTGCTCCCCTGGGGCACGCCGGGCCCCGCCGCTCCCGGCCGGGGACGAGGAGGTGCGGCCTCCGGGCGTTGCGGTTGCCGTGGCAGCGGCGGTGCCGCCCCAAGCACCGTCCTGCGGTGCCGGTCAGCGCCACGGCGGCTCCCGAGGGACAAACACCTCCTGCCGAGGGACAAACACCTCCTCCCGAGGGACGAACGCCGCCTCCCGAGGGACGAACGCCGCCTCCCGAGGGACGAACGCCGCCTCCCGAGGGCCGCCCGCCGCTCCCCTCAGCGCCCCTAACGGCCGCGGGCGCGGGCAGGCCGGGCCACACCGCCCCGTTGCCATGGAGAACGGGCCTTCGCACCCGGGCCCCCGCCCTGCCCGCTGCTCCGTGTGGCACAATCCCAGATCACGCCTTCAAATTGTCGGGAAGCAGAGCGCTAAGGGGCAGGAGAGCACACACACCCCGCCCGGAGAGGGGGAGGAGTGCGGCAGGCGGCKCTCCCTGYCCGSCCGAGAGCCCTTCGRGGSTGTTAAATTATGCATTSCTCAGGGAGCAGCCTCGGTTTGCGTGTTGTATTATTCATTTATGCTCCGGCTGGTGATAGATGAGCAATCGGATCTGCCCAAGAGCCAGCAGTGTCAGGATTTGGGCTTTTRTCAATCACAGAATCATGGAATTGTTTGGTTTGGAAGTGGACCTTGGAGTTCCAGCTCCCTTGCCATGGGCAGGGACACCTCYCACTAGACCAGGCTGCTCAGAGCCCCATCCAGCCTCACCTTGAACACTTCCAGGGATGGGACATCCACAACTCTGGACAACCTGTTCCAGTGCCTCACCACTAATGAAGACAGCAATGCATGTCCCGAGACACGCCTCTTTGTGTTAACCACACTGCCACTGGAACTTGGAAATGGGGGGGGGGGGAACCAAAAGAAAGAAAACAGGGAAACGCCCTAATTCATTTTCATGGGGGGGAAGCCAAAAAACCCTACCCTGATTTAGCTGAGGGGCCARGGGAGCTGGCAGAGGGATCCAACTCCTCAGCAGAGCTGGAGGGAGGTGGCACATTGCAGCCTCCTCTAAGGAGGACCAAACAGCCCCACAGGTAGTGGATGCTGTGCCCCTGAGGTCAGCAAGTCCCCATTTGTGACAAGCCRTGTGACTGCCAGACTCCCCTTGGAGTACACACAGAGCTCACTGCAAGGGCAAGCAGCTGCTTGCAGCCCTTCAGAATGACCAAAGTTCATGCAGCACCACAAGATGCTTCCCAGCACCACATTTTGGGGGATGACCCTTCTTAGCCCTCCAACCAGCATGGGCTGCAGTAGCATGGCCCCCCTGGGTGGAAAGAGGGAGAGCAGGAGGGAGAGAGGGAGTTCTTCTCGCTGTCAGCACTGACATGGTGCCCATCACACTGTCCAGCACACAGCTGTGGCCCCAAATTCTGAACACACTGGCCTGGCAAAGCTAAGRATGACAGTCCACAAGGCCACACACCTCAGAGGGCAGCACCCACCCTGCACTAAAGAGTTAATGCTAATGAAAGAATATATGAGCAGAAAGCAGCCACAAAGGCAGRGCTTTGATAGCTCTCAGAGTAACTYGAGTAGGGTCACCCTTTCACTCAAAGCCACGCAGGACAGAAAAGCTAAACCCCTTCAACATGAGGTTCAGGAGATCTCTGAAGAGATCTGTCATCATAGGCCACATGCCACAGGAGAAGGCTGGAGTCCATGACCTCACGGATTCTGCTCATCCTACACCGTACACTGAAAAAGAAAACCAGGTTTTGACATTGTTTCCAGTGGGCTGGAAGGGTCCCTGATGCTTACCCGAGCTCAGGTACCTGCTTGGCAAAGGTTCCTGCTGTACCTACAAAAACTTTAACCAGTGACCTCGCCCAGAGTATGCAGTTATCCCACCCTTGAAGACAATGTACTGGATTTCTGATTCTCTACATTTTGTAGATAGATGACTTTGACAAGTTCACAGCAGACTAAAATACAGAGAACTGGGCACMATACCAAGGCTTTCTGCTCTGCTTTTATTTTAAGACTATCCTTCATCTTAAAAGCCAGTGCTATCCCTTTCATTCACAAGATGCTTTATGTGACTAATTACAAATCAGCATGATTAAGACAAGGATGAGACCCCATTGTTGGAATGTCAAGCTGTGATGTTTAATAATGAAAACTTAATGATATAAGGTCAATTGAAATTCATGCACGCATTCATTAACCCACATGCCATTAAATCTAGGTTTTCAGATGTTCCCATCTATGAGGAAGCTGCAGAGCATGGTTATAAAAAATGCAATGAATACAACAGTTAAGCAGTGCAGGGCTCCAAGGGCAGACCCCGACATGTTGGCTGCTCTTTTCCATGTCACTAATGCATTAGACACTGTGTTCAGGGAACAGATTCATGTAGAGTGAGTGTGTTTTAAAGAAAAAGGGTGCATAACACCTCCAGAGTGATGTTAAACAAGCACATTTAATATGTTTTTTATGTAGTGTAGGAAATGGTTGACACTGTCAAAACCCATTGGGAACAGGGTTCAGAGCATTCTGTCTCCTGCCCCTTCCATAGCCAAGGAAGTACTTGGCTACAATCCCAGTACTTGGCTACAATCACACCGATAGAGCAGCAAACGCGACCGCTTTCACAGAGAGCYCTTCCTTTTCCCTGAGAGCACTGCCTGAGCAGCCGGCTGTGTCACACACACAGCCACAGCAGGGTTGAGTGTAACTCTGCCTTGCCCTGGTGGCTCTCACAGCCACTGCTAGCCCAGGGGACAGCAGTGGGTGCTGCTCCTGAAAAAGCAGCCTCTGGCAGCTCGTACTATTTCTCGCTTTTTGGACAGAACAAGCCCAGCAYCCAGTCTCTTGCTGTAGCAGTGATCCCAGGAACTACACCTCATCCTACCAGCAACATAGCAAGCCAGTGCAGGACAGAGATTCAGTGGTAACACTCACCTCTAGCAGCCCCCAGCATCAACTGGAACAAAGAAACAGCCACAGCATCGCAGGCAGACAGCCGTGTGCAGTGTTTATCTCAGCTCTGCCAAACCACTCTGTGCTCTATCTCCAATGCAGAAATTCAGCTCCTTTCACCGCAGCTTTGTGTCTCTTTTAGCTCTCAGCTGTACACGATGTAGCAGGATGTGATGGGAGGAGCAAGGATTGCTACAGCTCACGTGGACTTGCTTCACTTGCAGGCAAGAGCCGCCTCACAGTTCTTGTCACAGTCCTTTCACCAGCACCAGATGCACACCACTTGAATACACCTTAACGGGTAATACTATACCTGTATGACCTACTAGTTACCTTCCTGACATATGAAGCTGAGATTTTAATCCCTCACGCTGTCAAGAAACTCATCCCTCCACAACTGACACCTGCATTTACCCAGGGAAGGCAGATGAATGAAATTCAGAATAAACCTGATGTGCCAGCAGTCCTAGCCTTCAACARTAAACCTCAGCAATAAAGCTCTAAAAGAAACCTGCATCTGAAAGCCTCCCCTCCCCCCTTCCTCCCCAGGGACCCCCTTTTCTCTTGTTTTTGGTGTTGTGCAGAGGGCTTCTTTGGCTACTACCCACACCAACCACCGTGCCCTCCAGCCCAGCCTGAATTATGAGGTACAAACCATCTCTTCTAGAAGCACASCACAGGGAGAGCTTTGCAGCGCAGTTAAGTGTGGGTGTGTCAGGATGGGGAGCTTACAGCTTTTCTTCCTTATAGCCTCAATTTTGTAATTAGGTCAATGTAAGTAGAAAGGATTTCCTGTATGGCAAACCTACACYTGCTTTCCCTTACCATCACCCCCAGACAGACTGAAACATCCTGACCAGGGCAACCCTGCACCAGTGAGTGTTGATCTCCCTCATCAGACCAGTCTGCACTGGAATTACAGTGGTGCTTCTGGATTGCTTAGCAGTTAAGAATCCTCAACCAAGACACTTGCACAGTTATACAAATCTATACAAGCCAGCCAGCAACTATCTGCTTCTTGAAGCCTTGCTTCTTTTTGCATGTTTTGTTCTATATTGTTTTTCTCCTTCTTTCAGAGATGCTCAGAACAACCTGCAGCAGCAGTGCTGTGGATTAGTAGGGTATCAAAATAGAAAAAAAAAACACTGTCCACACAGGCTACCTCAGAGTGTTTTTATTTAACAAAAACAGCTGTTTAATTAGAAACCAACAATATCAACATGGCTACAGAATTTCACAGGCATCATTATTAAGTGTGCATACAGCTCCAATCAGGCTCTATAGCCACCTCATCACCACACCAACAGCAGAACTCAGAACCTGAACAACATCCTGGTGTGGCTTCCATACATTGCAGGCCTGAAGACATTCACAGCATAGCAAGCCTCTCTTTTGCAGTTACCACAGTTTCATTACTTTGGTACAAAAATCAGTGATATTGCTGTAAGTCATTAGGTAATTTTGTGACTTGCTTCTAAAAAACTGGGCTGTTCCCCATCAAAGATTTGATCTCAGTATGAAAAGTGTGATTAWAATTGAGCTGCTCCTTTTGGTCACTTGACAGGAATGCTGTACACCCACTTGTCCTGCCTTGCTCCAACTGCCATCAGACCAAGAAACTCAAAGGAAGACTACCTCTGTCCCAGGAAAGCTCATCAGCTAGTATCTCATGGCTTCAGATTTTTTTAAAAAAACAACAATAGAGAAAGGAATATATACATGGGTGGCTTCAAGTTTCCATTTCAGGATAAGGCAGTAAAGTTTCTATGTGAAAAAGCCAGTGCAGCTGAGACCCTCTTTAGGGGGCTGTTTCAGGAGGCAGCCTGCAGAAAGAAAAGCTTTGGGGAGTGGGCTCCCCTGAGCAGCTGGCCTGGAAGGGCTCCCTGGATCGCAGGCAGCACATCCTGAACACATTAATCATGCACCYTGTGYGGTAAAGGCTGAGACTCACAGAAARTGATRAGTAATGTCCCAGCTGRGGGGAAAACACCGCCCCAACCCCAATGCTGTGAAGTCTCCGTGGCACTAAAAGCAGGTGATGAACTAAAGCTGCTTCTTCAGCTGAAAGAAGAAAGAATCTCTAACGAACACACAGGGAGAAATCATAGAGGGAAAGGCTACATTCTCCCTTGCCAGCTCTCCTGTACATTTAAACTCACCACAACCTGCACAGCAAYAGGGACACTCCAAAGGCATTTGCTGCTATGATGGTCATGCTGCCTGAATATCAGGTGCCCAAGCCCAGGAAAACTCTGTGCAACTTCTTCTCAGTGTTGACGCAATTTGGAAAAAATAAATTATTTTTAAAAAACAGATATGAGGCAAGTCCCAAATTGCTTAAAGTGGACAAAAYAAAAGAATTTCCCAGTCTAAACATTCATTGCTCTGCTCATGTGGAACGAAGAGGTAGAACTAGTGGACAGAGRCCCACCAAAAGCATAAAGGCATTTTAAAGTAAGGGGGGGAAAAASTGACAGACCATAAATCATCATTTTCCAAAGCCTCGGGCAGTCATTCTGCTAACTACCATAACTGAAAGTCTCTATTTAATAACCAGAGTCTAGAGGCTCGAAGAATTCTCTAGAGGCTCAAAGAATAGCTTAAAATCCTGTGAGTTATCTTCCTTCTCAGTGCTATATGAACTTCCACCAACCCCCTTGAAACAGGCTGTGAGGCTCCTGTGATCATAAGAACCTGAAGCCCTAAGGGACAAAGGCAAAGTTATCCAAGGGTGCCTTGGATTAGCATTTTGCCATTTTAAACTCCCTCTAAACTTCCCCTCCAGCTTCACAGTACCATGGGCACAAGGCCTTCGTGGCCCAAGTAGTGCTGCTGATAGTCCAGCCACCAGTGCCACAAATTGCCCAGGGGCATTGTTGTGGTTTGGGGGAAGCACCATGATCAGCTATGGTAAAGCTCTGGCAGCAGGGATGACAGACAGGAACAGGAGAAACAGTCCAAGCTCCTCAAGGAAGCACGTGCGTATGCAGAAACATTAATGTAGCAGTTCTCAGAACAGAGCATCCAGCATCACAGGGCAGCCTTGGTGAGAGCCACACTGCAGAGCACAGCCCTCAGGCCACCTCCTGTACCAGGCCTGAGGCTCTCCACAGAGAGGTCAAGTTAGTGTTGCCCTCATTTCTGCCCTGTAGCAGCACCTCATGACAGAGAGCAGCAGTTGACCAGACAATCACAAAACTGCCTGCAGATGGACAGTATTAGACTAAAACCTCCCAAGGTTCTCATTCTTTGAGAAAATTTACTGTTCTTTGCTGCACATCCCATATATGCAACAGAAGAACAAAAGGCATTTTAGAAAGAAGATATTTGTTCTTACTTACGTAAGAGCTAATACATTTACCTTCTAAAATGTGCTACTAATATAGTATAAATATAGATCATATACCATTAAGGTGAATGCCTTGGGAAGAAAAGGTAGAGATTAAAACCAGACCTATATCTTCATATGTAGTCACCAAGAGTCCCTGCTTGGTGCACTTGGCTGGCTTTCAAGAGATCTGCTTTGCATCTGCTCTTGTCTTCTGTAAGTTCTCACAATACTGCAGATGCCACTGACCAAGAACACCAGTGAGATGGCCGCAAAGTAAGAGGCGTAAATCAAGAACTGCAGAGAAGAGGAAAAGAAAACAAGTGGTTAAACCAAGAAGTTACCAGATTTATAAGAATGTTAATAAAATAAATGAGCTCACTTCCTCTTCTAAAACAYCAGGAATCAGTGATTATTTCTCTGTCAAAACCTTGACCCAGAAACAGGTAGCTGAGAAGCTTTACAGCTCCCTTCCCTAACTCCCATCAATAAAGGTAAGAGCATCTATCATACCTGGGTGACAATGTCCAAGCCAAGCCCACTGGCATCCACAACAATCAAAGTGAGCAGAGTCTGAAGTGCTAAGGCAATGAAAGTATTGGCCCCAAATACCAGGGCATAGCGCTCCACGCTGAGATTTGCAGCGATCTGGTACCTGCAAAGAAAGGGAGGACMACAAAYATAAGGGGGGATAAGCAGGGGAATGCATGAATAGGAGGAACATTTCTGGACAGAACAACTGTGCAACCTGAGGGGTTACATTGACTGATCTAGTACTTTCCACAGCTAAATTACCTTGCACAAATAGTATACTTTTCTAAATAAGGTCATGACAGACTAGCATGGAAACTAGAAGAGACCCATAGACACATGCAACCCCCTTTTTTTGTAAGAAAAAATCAACCAAAAACCCAGCCCACTACTTAGGGAGCTCTGTGGGTTTCAGTGTTATTGAAGCAGCCCTCCTGTCTGATGTAAAGGGTCTTGTCACATGGAGGAATGCAATGCACTTTGGCAATCTCAAAGCTTCACTCTGTTGCTGTGTGGTCCATAACCTCCTGCATCCTTCTAACCAGAACTCCCTTTGCAATTACCAATTTCAGCATCACCCCTTTTACTGTGCTTGACCAGTCTCAGAGTGATTATGTGGTTCAAAACCAGCTAGGCTTTCCTCCGTAAAGTGACAAATAACACTGAAGCAGTTTACCTACAGGTTAGCAAAAGTTGATGCATCAACCCAGGCAAAGCATTGTCCTTTCCTCATTTGTTAACACTTCACTCCAGCTACCTTCATGAAATACATCCTCCTAGCAATCAGCACTATCTAAGATTCAGAAATAGTCACTTCAGTGTTGCAAGACTYTTAAGCTTGGGCACACTGCCAGCCAAATATATCTCCATGCCTCAGTTTCCAACTTGAATGACAACACAAACTCTTGCAACAGACTCTCATTACACAGAAAATGTGCTGCTTTCCCACCAGCTGTAACCTTGAGAGCAGGCTCCATTAGAGATACTCACGTTGCTATTGTGATTAGCATCATGTAGATGATCCTGAAGATGACATAGGATGCATAGCACACCCAGATGTTATGAACAGTGTCCATGACATACACAGCAGCAGCAATAAGAAAGGAGAACAGGGCAAGTGCCACTTCACCCCACATTGCCCAGGATGTTTTGATGTAACCCACAGCAACAACTGCAATGGCTCCTGTGAGGGGAAGCAAAGCATAACGCTTAGTAATTACAATTGGAGCAATTTGGAAATGGTGTACTGGGAGCTCTGCAGCCCTTAACAGCCAAACATGAATGAAGTGGAGGGCACAAATAGGAACACCTTAGCAACTCTCCTTCCTGACCCCTCTGTCACCTGCTGGAAACTCCCATTTTGTTTTACAGAAACAGGAAAAAAAAAACACACGGGTCAATGCTGACTGCCTTTAAAGTCTCCTCTCTGGCTCCAGAAACATGACAGCTCCAGGCCTCAGACCACTGCCATTCAGTCCTCTGCACTCGACTGTGGCAGCGTTGTCAATAATTGGGCAATTTCTGTTGAGAAATGCAAACCCTGGCTCTCAAAAGTACTCACCTAATTATTTATTACTGCTTTAGCAAAGGGTAGGAGGGAGCAAGACACTCCTCACYTTAATGCACAGCTGTTAGAGCTCTCTCCCAGGAGGCAGAGAAACCTACATTTACTGTCATCTCCACTTTGGGCTGTAAGAGTAACTAAGAGGAGTCCGAATCCCTATCTCCTGGCATGCAGCCTAATCACAGGGTATAATCATGCATTATTGATTGTGCAAGAACAATCCTTTACAACACAGAAAGTTTTGTAACTCTGGCTGGATTTTATGAAGGGGGGATGGGGGGAAAGCACAGATCATAGGATGGAAAGTGCGTAGTATTTCATACAATTCAATGAGCAGACAAGGTGTGTTTCATGCACTATCATAGCTGCAACTGCTAAAAAGCCTAAATACATATTACATTAATAAAAAACTCCCATTTCAAGTAGGCCTTGTTCTGCAAACAAGCCAAATAGCAGCCAACAGCATAATGGCTGCACACAGCAAACCAGACAAACAGCATACTGACAAAGGGAGGTTTACAGGACATCTCTGAAAAACAGGATTGTGTTCAGCAGTAGACCACTGCACAGAAGGGTTACAGTGCAGTATCTAAGCTCTTTGTAGAGCTTAGCTGGCCTGCTGTCTTAGAAAACCTTCAAGCACACCAACACTCCTTATGTAGCATCAGTGTGCACAAGCCTGCGATCCTGTCAGACCTCACATCAATCTTGCAGACTGGTGAATAAGGGAACTCTGCCAAGGCAAAGGATTTCTTTTCCTGCACTTAAGTCTTCTCATGCCTGCTGTAACATGACCTGACTAACATCTTGTTCTTTGAAAGTCTGACTCCCCCAACAGAAAAACTCTGAGATGCAAAGAGAAGCTAAGTCCKAGAGCATTCTTCCTACTGTCTCGGCAATTCTGAAATTTGAGAACAGACATGGGGATCTCATGGCAACTCATGAAACTGTACTCTTCCTGTGTGTCAAGGCTGTATGAGCCTGACACCTAATGAAGCTTTTCAATGTCTGTCCTTCAGTGAGACACATTCAGCTGATCCAGATTTCACAACCCAACCTGATAAAGGATTGCCACATTCCGAAGAAGGTGCAGGGGTGCAACTTAACTGTCAGCCGATCTCCCTAGAAGGAATATAATTTCTGTTTCCCAGAACAGGAAGCCGACAGCTACATGAGTCACCACATGGACTTAAACCCTTCTGCAGGGCAAGGACGGTAACAGCACCTTATGCAAAGGTTGACAAACATTGCTCATAACTGAGYGGTGAAAATGGCAAATCAGATCTGGGATGCAGCAGGAGAGGTACTTTAGTAGAGAGAGAAGAGTGAATAGCATGCTCTTCTCTAAATCTGAGGCCTCACTGAATAAAGCCAAGTGCAGTTCTGACTGTTCACCTTTAAAAACAATGCAATTCAAACCAGGTTTGATGCAAAGAGGGGCTAATAAGGAAGAGAACAAAGGGCTTAACTTTGTACCTACGAAAACTAGAAAAACCTGGCTTCTTTGGCCCAGAGCAAAGGTTTTGTTCTAAAGTACAATCCAGGCATGACATCAGAGACAAACTACTCATTAATAAATTCAAACTGGAAATCAGAAGTAAGAGCGTTTGCACCGGTGCGTAGAAGTCAGGTCACTGCATGCTCATTCCAAACAAGTGTTAGGACTTCCAGTGCTGTCACACACTTGAAGATTTTAGTTGTGATTATTTATTCATCAAACTTTGCTTCTTTCAAGCAATTGATCTCTATCAACAAGAAGGACTTTTGGTTCTGTGTTTTGAGCAGTTCAGTTTGCTTTAAAAAAATATCACCCAAAATGATTCAGCTACTTATAAAAATGATACTTGAGGAAAAAATCAAAATGGGAAATGAAAAATTTCAGTTTTACGAGAGTTTAGGTCTATTGTTCACAGGCCTTTTAAAAAAGGACCTTGTTATCAAAGATGTTCATGACAAGATTTGAAGAATACCCCTCCTTATATTTTCTTTTTTTTTTTTTAATTTTGCTGACATTAGGCCACATTATGAGTCTTCTTTTTCTTGATACCGATTCTTCTCCTTCCTGGGATAAAGGCAGTATGGTAGATGAAGCCAATTCAAACAAGAAGTAAGARGCACAGACTCCTGCTAGAGTGGAGAAACAGAGTATGAGAGCAAGCTGTGTAAGTGCCGGTTCAGCCCACCAAGGACTGAATAGACCAAGTCATCAAGTTGTCATCAGTTTCAAACCCAACTAACAATGGGTTGTAGACTAGCTTTAAGAACTATAAACCAGCCACAGCTTCCTACTGAACTTCAAGAAGGGGCTGAGCACACCCAGGAAAGCACTASTAATTTGTTTGTGTACCTTGGTTTCTTTTGCCCCCAAAGAGGTGATGCCCACAGCAGATGATGGAACAATGACTCCATCAAAGAAAAGGGACACGCTGCAGCAACATCTAGAGAATCTCTGTAAGGGTATCTCAGCTATTTTAAAAATGTATTGTCCCAGTTCTGGTAATGAAACGGTATTGAACTTAATAAACAAATGCTTGTGTTGCCTGACCTACCTGTCCCTTTCAAGTCAACCAACTTCTTTCATCTTAYTAGCTTCTCCTCCCAACAGTGCTGAAATGACTAACCATGGCTCACTGCATGCTGTGCGTGTACAGGAAACCTTCAYACACTCCCCACGCTGCTGGAGGAAAACCAAATGCACAGGACCCCATGTCTGACTCTGAGTGTCTAAAACAAGCATAACCCCAGTGTCATAGTGACAGCCAAGAACACACAGTCAACCACATGCCTGGAGCCTTCTGCCAAGTATGTCAGAATGAAGATTGGCTTGGGAGGCTCCTCTAAACACCTACGTACTGGATTACAGGAATCAGGGCTGCTTCAGCGACTAACTCATGCTGAGCATCCTACCTGTGCATGTCAGGGAAGACTCACCCCAAATGCCAGGGTTTATCTCTCCTGCATGCTTGGGGGAATGCATGGCACTTCCAAATCATGCTCTGGTGACCTTGAGAGAAACAAGACATTTCTCACAGCAGATCAGAAGCTTACCTAGGAGCGTTGAGGCTGCCTCCACAGCACCATTGTAGAGGTCCGCGCTTTGAGCAGGCAGCACCATCTCCCACAGGCCCTGAGCGTAGTTGAGGACCTGAAAGTAGCCACAGGTGGACAGTGCCCACCACACAGACCAGCAGAGCATGGTCCTGGAGGAGTAGCAGTGCAGGAAGTCCTGCCAGAGATCTTTCAGCACCTTGGCGATGTCTACTTTATGCTTCTGCATAGATTGGGGAATGAAAGGGAGAGAAWTGTTAAGTCTTTGTTTATGAGTGCTTCACACCGCGCCATAAAATTGCCCCTTTCAGGTAATCTGCTCACTGTGAGTGACAATAGCACTCTTGGACACAAACCCCCACAGAGTAATAAATAAAAAGTTTCCCCATCCCATAGTCTCTGTGCCAACCAGGGCTTATGTGCAGAGGTGGGGTTCAGTCCCAAGAACCCCTCCATCTCTGGTTCTCCCCAGCAGAGAGCGGGGACTGCCAGATGTTATGTGAGCAACTGAAGGGTACCAGAGAAGAAACAMAGGAGAGCAGGACACAATATCCATTTAGACAAGACAGGATCAGGGAGCCAGTCATTTACATCAGAAAGCATCACTGATACTTTTAAGTTCAGGTTCAAATTCAACCACAGTTTGTAGCACAGAGAACATGAAAGGCATCAGATGAGTATACCTCTCTCCAAATAAGTTGATTTTCTTTAATACAGGCATTTGGGGTTTATAAATACTCAAAAAAGCAATTTCATTAGCACACACTCTACTCCTATTAAAGTTTACCAAGGCTTCAAGAAAGTGAGAGATGTCACTTGGGGATCTAAAGAGAAACAGAAGCTACTTCCGCCAGACACTGCTGTTGCAAATGGCAGCTCCTGCATATAAAAGTGCCCTGACAAATGGCATGAGAYAAAAAATTAAGCTTTCCACTCCAAATCTTTCTGGAAAGAGCATGAAAGGGGGGAGACCCTTACAAATAATTGAAAATAGATAAATTCTAGCAACAGCAGATGACAACAATCAAAATTGKTTTTTTACATACAGACTGGAACAGTCCTGTTCTTTACCCCTTTATGTCCACAGCAGCAGAGGAAAAGAGTATGTCTCTACTTAGTGGACAAAAGTTCCTGTTACATTTGTTTCATGCACACATGTACACAGTCTGTGTAGACTCTGTAGGGCAAGACCCTTTTAATCTAAATAGGAGGAACAGTTATATCATGCAAGACTGAGCAGAGCCCCAAGGCCCACCCAGCACTTCTGGCCCCTGTGAACTTGGATTCCCTGAGGGAAACACACAGCATTGTCACAGGACTGAGGTATTGCACATTGCGCTGTCACACGTCCAATTTCACAGTGGTTTCCAGACAGCAGCAGCAACTTTGGGCCCTTGGCATTATGCCCTTTCCCTGGGGGAATCATGCAGTGTGTGCCTGGGAAAGACTATTTTCTACGAGCAATAAAACTCATTTTAAAACATTTCTGCTAAAACCCCAAAAGATCACAGCCTGAATGAACTCTGTCCTAAACTCCCCTTCTTCCAGCCTTTCAAGTATCACTGACTTGTAAGCATTTTTATTAAACACCACAAAGTCCTACTGGTGCTTTGCCAATGGTGTAACTCTTGCTCTGCATGTGGATTCCATTCCTCCAAGACACAACAGAACAGCTTGGGAAAAGGTGAGCTTGTGGCAGTGTAACTTCAGCGYGTAACTCCCACACAGATTTCACACAAAGCTCACATTTACATGCAGGAAAACAAGGGGAGGGAACTGTCACACACACTACAAAAACTGATTTGCCTGTTCAGCACCAAGCACCTGYCTGATAAGCCAGAAGGGCCCACCCACCCCGCCACAGCCTGGCAGCACCTCTTTGGTGCAATTATTCCTACAGCCATCCATGTTTGTGAAATATGGTTGCTGTTACCTCAGTAAGAAGGACAATCATCACACTCCAGTGCCTCTGAGCCTTCAGCACCTGGTGTAAGTGACCTCTGGGGAGTTAGGCAGGTGTACTTGCTCCTTTTCTAAACTTTTCACCATTACTTTGGAGCTACGTGTACTTTCACAGGAGGGGAGCAAGATAAACAAAAGGGATGGATAAGTTATACATTAGTTATTATTGGCACAGAGTTTGTCTTTACAAATACCCTTCAGCATGCAAACATAACACGGGTAAAAATACCCTTGCTCGAACAAGATCGTGCTGGATGGGGCAGGATTAARTCCCTGGAATGTTAATACCTTTAATTCCCAGCTGTAGCTGGAGAAGCMGAAAGCAGCCCTGGATGCTGCCTCCCCCAAACTAGCTAACTATGGCTTACTTGCTAAGAAATACCCACTGCTGACTAATCCAGCAGCTGTGCTTACCCACTGCCTTGCTCTCAGAACCAGCACAGCTTTTCTGTCTGGGGAGCAAGGCTGGCCTCTCCCCAGCACTGAGAATCCCCCTGCCAAGAATCTCCACATGTCCACATCCCCTGGAACAGTGTGGCCAGTAGGGACCTACCCAGCAAGCAACACTCACACAGGGCCTCCAAASTGGAGGCTGCTCACCCCTCATGGGACTCAGCACGTCCCATCACCATGCAGGGGTGCCTGCACTTGTTTCCATACAAGTGACTTTGCCAGAGGTTACACAGCCCAAAAGAGCCACAAGTCAGGGCACCACCTCAGTGCTCTCATGYGCTGCATTAAGCTGATATTATACAGATGTGTTTCCTGCAATTTGTCCATATTCTGCCCTTCCATAACTAATCAATATCTGCTTCCAAATGCCGTCAAGAACTACTTCAAGGACTACTAGTTTCCTTCCTAGACCAGTTTCCTTCCAGGATCATACGATTATGATTATCACACAGCATATTACTGTRCAACTTGCACAACAGTTGGAATAGCAGTGTCAAAATGTGAGTGCCAGAAGAATTACCTCTTTTCTGCAAGTCACTGGGTACATCCAGAAGCACACACAGAATCTGGACATAGACTCAATATTTAGTGTCCAGAGACATCCCTTGCTCTGTACCACTGAACAACAAGTTGATGCTCAGGGCATATAAACTGCAGCCTTGTGAGATAYGGAGAGTGATTCCAGAAAAACTAAGGAGCAGCCTACCATTCTCAAACAGTAAAAGGATGCCAGTAATAATTTTCCCTGTGCCATAAATAAGGAAGTGGGATAGGGGATACTTTTTGCTGTTAGATATTACATCTCTACTGCTATGTACATATCTGCACATAGGCACATGTGACAGCCACGTCAGTATAGTGCCTTTTACTCACGTAAACTCGGCACAACTCACCTGTTTCTCTGCTGAATGACCCTCCCCATTTAAGGGAACTTTGGTCTCATCCTCCCAACCAGGTGCCCTCTGCACATCAGGATGATCTTGGACAGCTGCTCCATTTTTACAGTCTATGACCTTCATTTCACAACTAAGGCGCTGTCTTGAGACGTGATGAAAGAAAAGGCTTTTTTGTGGCATGGGCAGGAACCACGCTGTGGCAAAGGCAATGGACACGCTGGTTAAGGAGATAACATTCAAGCTGAAGAGGGACCATCCCGCCACTGACACAAGGACCTGCCCAGACACAGAGCCCACTGTGTAGCCCACCAGGGTGGCACTTCGGCAGTAGCTGGTGACCTTCTGGTACAGGTTGATATCGACGACACTGTAGATGTAGGAATAATAGGCGATGTCGGTGGCAGTCCCWATCCCGTAGAAGAACTCGAGCAACTGGATGGCCCGCAGCCCCTGGGCGTACAGCAGCATGAACCAGGTGACGATGAGGCTCAGGCCCTGCAGCAGCACCACCGGCTTGTACCGCAGGTAGTCCGTGGCCAGGAACACAGGGAACAGCAGCGCTAGGTAGGAGTAAGTCCACACCGGATAAATCTCATTGAACACCTGCGAAAGGGAAAAGCCGGCGGTGACCCTCAGCACTCACCGATTGCGAACAGAACAGACACAGAGATACACAGAAAGACACATACTGCGCCAGGGGAGGGGAAGGTGCCCGGGACTGCGGTACCTGGGCCTCGGAGAGGTTCTTGTGCGGCCCCAGCAGGTACCGGGTGAGGAAGGGCTCCGACGGCCGCACGTTGCAGAAGAAGCCGTAGGCGCAGAGCAGCGCCGTGGGCAGCGCCCAGCAGCACGCGCCGCCGCCGGCAGCCCGGGCGGAGCGCCTCGCCGGCCGCTCCCCGGGCGAATCCGCCATGCCGGGGCCGGGGCCGGGGCCGGGGCCAGGGCGGGCCGGGCCGGAGGCGCTCCCGGGGCCGGTGGCGGGCGCGTCCCGGTCACCTCCTGAGGGAGGCCCGGCCCCGGCCCGCCGCACGGTGCCCCTCGGTGATTGGCCAGCGAGCGGGGGGCGGGGCCGCGTAACGCCCTCCGATTGGCGAGCCGCCCCTGTGGGCGGGGCCTGCAGCCGCGCGCGCGGGAGGGGTGGGCCCGCGCTGGGATCCCCGGGGATCGCTCGCCCCAAAATTCCTCATTTCCCTCTTCCTCCCGGGCATTTCCTGGAAACCACCTCAGCGAACGGACCCCCTGCCTGTTTCGCTGTGATTGTTCGTTCTTTCCTGTCTCAGACGCGTTCGGCCGCTGATCTCTGCTGCTTTCCCTCCCTTTCTCGAGATAAGAGCTTGAATCACCTCTGTGGTTTGACAAAGCAGCACCTTGTCCGTCCAGAAGAAATATTAGACAAGTGGGGAAAATAAAACTATTACATTCCAAGTCATTATCTAAAGCTTTGCCCAGTACTACTGTTCCAAAAGCTTTGCCAATCCTCTAAATTCTTTGCTGTTTTTCTTCTCAATYTATCCCACACTTTCTTTTTATCTACTTGATTTGCCTTTCCCTTTGCTCCACTCGYCTGATCTCCAAGACATTGCTACCAYTGCTAGGGYTTCCTACTTTATAYCTACARTTGTTCTCCAAAGTGGCTGRTACCAGAGAGAATTCACACAAAAGGTCAGGCCTCCCACCTGCCCAATTGCATGTCCTGCCTCCTAGGCATCTGCATAAACAGAGTTGGGTGGGAAAGAACAAGTTTTTCTCAGCCACAGAACAGATTCGTTCTAGTGCATAATTTTGCTGCTATCTATTACTGTCATGTATTTATTACTATTTTATTACTATTATTACCATTATGTATTWATTACTATTTTATTACTGTYATTACCATCATCATACCTGAGTAAACATAGCTTGAAAGAGGATTTGGGCCATAAGACTACTGGGCTGTCTGTAAAACAGAGTRAAATATTTTGGTCTTGATCATCTGGCATCAGTGTTTTGCTGCTTTTCTGGCTGTCTTTTGGGTCTAGCAAAATTTCCTTTTCATTGTTCTCTACATTTTCTTCTGTAGAAAGTCTGTAAGGATTATTAGGAAAAAAAATATATTGCCATTTGACTACCCTTAACTTGAAGCAAAACTCTACAGGGAAAGATCAGTTCCTGTTAATACTGGTATCCATTTCAGCCATAGGCAATGCTGATCTTTTCAAATAGCATGGTTAGAGTGAAATGAGCCAAAACATCGACTGATAAACACGTTGCCATGGGTTCCCTCTCAGTCAGCGCTCAGCAGCGCCTTTGTCCTGCTGGCAGGTGGCCCAGGAGCAGGTAAAAAGGGATATGGGCTGTTAGCACTGAGGTGTTGTGCACCTTCTGGTCAATCTGGGCCATCGCTGGCAGGGAGGAAAGAACAAAACCTTGGAGTTCCCGTGGTGAGCCCTGCCTAGGCAGCAGTTCCCACAACTTCCAGGCTGCTCACAGGATCTGATAGGTGGCCTTGATCTTTTCCAAAACAACCCTTAGAGYTGTGCCACTGGAGCTCAACTGCTGTTTCCAGGGGATTAGAAGAACGAGTTACATCAGTTCAGTCCTTTCCCTTGAAAAAACACACARACAGGCAACCTAGATTTGTCCTCCAAAGACTGCCTAAGAAAAAGAAACTGCAAAATTTTGATTAAAGTACTTCAGGTTTTCTCAGAGTTTTCAGTTTTGTTCTCGAACTCATCATGTTTTGTCTTCATGGAATATTTTCAGCCTTTGGGAACAAGATAAAATTTTATTCCCTGATTTTTTACTTCTATCTTTTTTTTCTTAGCCTTCCTCCACATTTTCTCTTTCCATCTCCTCACTCTACCAGAAAAAATAAAAAAGGTTAAACATGTTTGATAGCAAAAATCTCAAAACTTCCAGTATTTTTTCTAAGATGGAAGACATAGACTGTGAAAAGTAGGGTTTCTCACACTTTCTTTCCTAAATCTTACCTGTTTCTTTCTTCTCTCAACTTACAGCCTATAGTGTATTGTGGAGGAATTAATAAAATATATGTRCATGAAAAGTTCTCCAAAAGTCATTTGCCAAGTAGTTTAGAGAAAAGCTTCTGTAAATTAAAAACTTTAAAAACTGCACTCTTTTGAAGTTGCTGTTCAGAATGATTTCTCTGTGAGAGCATTAAGATGGTACAAATATTTCAGAAACTATCCAGAAGGAGAGAATAAAACAGGTTTATCTTTTGCTGAGCACAGAAGGAACAAAGGCACARGAATGTGACAAACAGTAGCAACTAGTTTCTTTTAATATTTTGGCCATTGTAACTAATCTGGGGAAGYAGACTCAATTAACTAGTGTCTGTATTAGAATGAAACAGAATTAGCAAGAACAAAAAAATATCTGAATTATTTCTGAAATCTAGAATGATTAGTTTAGACAAAAGCCCATAGATTATAGCTATCTGTCAGAGCTGTAGACTGGATATAACCTTGAAGGCCTGTGTCTTCTACTTCCAACCCCCAGTTGATCCTTTGATAATCTGGGAGCTTTCATCAGGAAACTCATAAATATTATGCAGCCATAAAGGGTCAATTTAAAACCCTTGTGCATGGGGGGGAAATGCAGGAACACAGCTGATTGAGAAGCCAGTGTAAATCCAAGCTTCCAAGACCTTCCAAGTAGAAGCATGAGGACAAACAGCCATCTCTCCAAAATACAGGGGTTRTTAGGAGTCTGRYTGCTATCAAAAGCCTCTGGCAGACMATTCCCCTTCTGCCCCACACACCACAGCAGGCTCTGCACTGTGTCCAATGCACACTGAAGCAGAGAGCTGTTAGAAATAAGGCATTCATGGCTGAATTTGATGTAGAATCMCTCGCCACAGAATAATTATCAGAATAATTCCTGGGCTAAGATGGGTCGTGTTGTACAGCACTGTACATTTCCATTATGGACACAGCAGTTTAAAATATTCTGACTCAGCTACATGAGGGAAAAARAGGAAAAGCCACTGAAGTCTGCTTCAAACAGAGGACAAATTTTCATGGGAAGTGTTAAAAGAGAGTACAACAGTGGTGTTACAAAGCAAAACAAGCACTTAGAAGAAATATACTTTTATTAAATGTAGAAGCACATAGGTTGGTCTGAATTACTTGGTGCTTGRTGTATCTAGGTCACAGTGGGTTTAACAGAGTATTGCTCCCATTAGGAATGGTRTTACAGATATACCTARGAMGCCTGAGAATGATCCCATGGCCTGTTTTGGAGAGTGCTGTACAAACATTCAAGAAGTTGGAGTCCCTACCTGGAGGAGATTGTAATTAAGGCATGATTCAAGCACTGGGTGTAACAAACAAATGGAGAATGGGGCACAGTAATGATAGGAAAGTGTAGGTGGATGAACTGGTTATGATGCAGAGCTAGCATGAATAAGCACAGCAAGAAGAGGAATATTTTACACTGATTTAGAGGAGTAACTGACTCATACAAAACAGCAATTGATCACCATAGGACAGTGCTGGTTCTCATTTCTGTGGTGCTTCACATACTGATAAAGAGTCTCCCCTAGAACATAGGTGGGTATGGACAGACCCTTCACCTTCCTCTCTCGGATATGTGCMAAAAAAAAATCTTTTCCTGTCATGGAAGACACCTCATGAGCATGAGTGCTTGGCAAGTTGCAAGCCCTCTTTTYGTCTCTTGGCACTGTCCTAAAATTCTGATCAACCCACCAGTGTTCATGGCCATTTCAGGGGGTGCTGGAGAATGCTCAAAAGATCAGTTCTTTTTCTGGAGTCCTCACCACATTCCCATTTGATGCATTTTCTATAGAGTTCTCCTGAGACTTCCATTAGACATACTCTTGCCACGCACACTCACTGATGTCTCTACTATGAGAAGAGCCCCAAAGCCCAGATTCACCTTTGCACCTGTGCTGATGCACAGTTCAGGTTCTGGAGACAGTGGATGCAGAAACAGGATCTGCACTGGCTTTTATTCAGGGGTAATATGCAGCTTTACGTCTTTGCTGTGCCAGTGGTGTGGAGGGAACCATCCAGTTTGCAGATTCCTGGGAACCTTAGTGAAGTGAAAAACTGGCAAAAATGGAGGCTACATCTTCTTTAAAAGGAAGAAGCRTGTGTACCCCTCCACATGAGGCTGCCTGCATCCACTTTAGACTTTACAGGGAACTCTGAACAAACCTGTCTGGAACAGGACTAATGCACCAGGCTCTGAAGAAACCACTGTGGTGCTGCTGGCAATAATCAGTTCAGGGCTGCTCAGCTCCTTTCCAATCCAAGTGCAGACATAAATTTCAGTATCTGTGCGAGTGGAACCACCACTTCTGGAAAGGAAATGGAAACACCCAGTAAAGGTGGTTGTGAGTAAAGCACAAGGCTTCAAGCACAGCCACCTATGTGTTATTGTCACCCACAGATGGTCAGCTCTGGGTACCCTGCAGCCTCCTGRAAGCTGGAACAAGCATTAGAGGGCAGCAATTCCATTGTGATGCTGTTTGAGGCTAAAAGCAGTTAACTTTGGTCGTTTGGATCAAAACACCAGTGTGAAGTCATCCATCCAGGTTTGTGAAGAAATCACTGGCCATTTTACTCTGAACTTTGGCACCACATTTCTCCCTCAGTCTCAAAAGCTTATGTTTGCTAAATTTCATGCTGTCAACATGCATCTTTATTCTTTGCAAAAACTGTAGGAATTCTTGCTCTCCTTGTGTATTTTGCAAATAATCTCTACATACACAGAATTTCATTCCAGTGTGTAAAAGGTTGTGCAAGACTGACTGTTTTAACTACAGATTTCCAAAAGCCTTGTTTGGCTGCTTCATAAAATCAGAATACTTGGTGTATGTGGTGTGGCTAGGATGGAGTTAATTTTCTTCACAGCAGCCTGTACAGTGCTGTGCTTTGGTTTTTTGACTGAACCAGCACTGATAACAGGYGTTGTT